CACCCACGAAGGGTCACCCACGAAGGGTCACCCACGAAGGGTTGCCCACGAAGGGTCACCCACGAAGGGTTGCCCACGAAGGGTCACCCACTAAGGGTCACCCACGAAGGGTCACCCACGAAGGGTTGCCCACGAAGGGTCACCCACGAAGGGTCACCCACGAAGGGCTGCCCACTAAGGGTCACCCACGAAGGGCGGCGCCACGCGGGGGCCGCCTCTGCATCTCCCCAACGCTGACGCTCACACACCGCAGCGCCAGATACTCATTTAAACAACAAAAGGCTGAGTCGACCTTGCTCGCGTGCGATCGAGATGAGGCCACAGTGGTGAAGGTTAAAGGTCACTGGATAAAGATTGTCGTCACGGGGGAGGGGGGGGGAGGTCCTGCAGTGACGAACGAAGCCATCAAAGGCTTGAGGTGGTGGTTGGATCGATCAGGGTGGGCGACACGGGTAGTTGTCACAACGCCAATTGGATATAGAACGCGACGGATGTATTTTCGGGAACGCGCTTTTTTAATATATATATAAAACGCAGAATGCGAATTCGGTTGTTAGAGAACGCGATCGGGCGAATAGAACTACGTCGCAGCGGGGGGTAAGCGGTCGTAACACGGCGACCTCGGCATAGCAGCATCATCATCGTCGTGCGAGGGAGTGGGATGCTGCTGGATGCTTCTAGATGCTACCCACACACGCGCCGCGGTCTTTGTCCGACCCTGCGTTAAGCATCTCGCGCGTTATCGCGGACTCTGCTCCAGCGCTACGTTGTTGATCATAACGCGATGTTTCCAGAACGCGGTGTTCTTCAGGAACGCCACAACCACGACCACCGCATTACAGGGGAACAAGAGACTGTACTGGGGAAGGCTTGCCCGTGCAGCTGACAAGTTTGCCCCCGCCGCCCCCGCCCTCCCCCACCGCTCCCCCCACCTCGTCACGGATGAGAGGAGTTCTACCGGACGGCTAGCTTGGGCGTAGGGTCCCTATCGGCGTAAGGCACTACCACTACCACCACCACGAGAGTACTACAAGCTACCGTCCGCCGTGCTCTGCCAAAGGTCAGGTGCAGTGCTAAAAGTCTAAGTGCTCTGTCAAAGGCCAAACTTTCTTGTCAAAGGTCCAAACTTTCTGTCAAAGGTCAAACTTTCTTGTCAAAAACTTTGTCAAAGGTCAAACTTTCTGTCAAAGGTCAAACTTTCTGTCAAAGGTCAAACTTTCTGTCAAAGGTCAAACTTTCTTGTCAAAGGTCAAACTTTCTGCCAAAGGTCAAGCGCTTCGTCAGAGAGTAGTTGTGCGTGATCGCGTAACAGGTCACAAATGCCTCTAGGTCCAGCGAACAAAACTACATGACTATCATATTCTTGGTTCTTTCGGTAAAGTCACGTGGAAGGGAAATAATAAAATAATAAAAATAAAACAATAAAATTATCACGACGTTTCGGCCACAACGCAAGCAACCGTTAGCTCTGTTCGACAGCTCTGTTCTTCACCTGAGGACGGCTGCTTGCGTTGTGGCCGAAACGTCGTGAGAATTTTATTTCATTAATTTTTTATTATTTCCCTTCTACGTGACTTTACCGAAAGAACCAAGAATATGAATCCCTGCAGTCACGAAAGCTTTAAATCGACATTTACATGACTATTATTTTCTCTCCCGACAACATGTTTGGAGATGCGGTACATGTGCGTACAGAATACACGTACTGCACGTGTATATATCCATATATAACGTGTATATATACACACGTCATATATGTATATACAACGTGTATAAAACGTGAAAATATAACGATCAAAAATATAAATCATCGCAAACCTCTGCCGTCCTCCCCCCCAACCTCTCCTCGATTCGAGGAATCCACCGCATCTCGACATCCCAACCCTCGCTGTAGTCACAAGCCCAGGGGTAATTGTACCACCACCATCATCATCACCATCACCTCGTCTCTACGTACGTTGAACTTCTTTCACACCGTACGTAGCCAACCGTGGCTACTCGGCGGTGCGGGGGGTGAGATCAACAACACTAAACACGAGAAAATAGTAGTTCGAAAGAAAGTGAAGTATCGTCAATGTCGCTGACGATTTAAAAGTGCATCAGAGCTCTCAGCGTCTTCCCAATGTCGGTAAGGAAGAGCGTTCCAGACGGCCGCAGCAGCGCATCTGAAAGGACGACTGTGTGTCATGAGTGTGTGTACGTAGGTGCTGCTACGCGCTAAACATCACTTGACTTAACAGGCCACGTGGAAGCTACAGGACCAGCCATCCCAACGACCAATCACAGGCAAGGTCGGTCAGCAGCAGCAGTAGCAGCAAGACGCTGCAGCAAGACACTCAGTGGTGAAGGCCCCATGTGGTGAAGGGGTAAAGGCGCAGCCCTGCAAGTCTCTGCTCCCAGAGCGATCCCGAGAGAGAGCCCTGCTCCTCTCGCACGCTCCACGCTGGGCCAGACGTCTTGGGAAAGGCGGGGAGTACCCACACCCCATCAACTGTGGTGCAGTTACACTGCTGGGTGGACAGCAGGGTGGTGGAGGTGGTGCAGGTGGAGGTGCAAGTGGTGGTGGAGGTGGTGCAGGTGGAGGTGGTGGTGCAGGTAGTGGTGGTGGAGGAGGTGGTAGTGGAGATGCAGGTAGTGGTGGTGGAGGAGGTGGTAGTGGAGGTGCAGGTAGTGGTGGTGGAGGAGGTGGTAGTGGAGGTGCAGGTGGTGGTGGTGGTGCAGGAGGTGGTGGAGGTGGTGGGCGTCTGGTGAATTTGAAACGGCTACAAAAACACACACACACGCACACACACGCACGCACACGCACACACACCCACGCACATGCACGCACGCACACGCACGCACACTCACGCACACACACACCCACGCACACACAAACATACGCACACACACACTCACGCACACACACCCACGCACACACACCCACGCACACACAAACATACGCACGCACACACACACTCACGCACACACACCCACGCACACACACACACCCACGCAAGCGCACCCACGCGCACACACACGCACACCCACGTACACACCCACGCACACACACTCACGCACACACGCACACATGCACACACCCACGCACACACGCACACACACACCCACGCACACGCCCACGCACCCACGCACATCCACGCACACACGCCCAAGCACCCACGCACACACACACACACTCACGCACGCGTTTCCGTCATTCACCCCGAGTGACCCCGACCGAGGTGGAAGAATCCATTCAGAAATCTCCCCTCGGAGACCCCCCACCTGCTTCTTCGTCAAGTGATGCGCGCGGTCGAGGGGAGCACGCTCACCCCCCAGAACCACCCCCCCTCATTTGAGAGTCACGTGATGGTCAAAACCTATATATATTTACATCTTCTTTGATTGTCAGATCTGGAGTTTACACAAATTGCGTGAAGGATCACATTTGATATGATTAGTTATTTTTGTGGGTCTCTGTGTTAGCCCGTGGGTCTCTGTGTTAGCCCGTGGGTCTCTGTGTTAGCCCGTGGGTCTCTGTGTTAGCCCGTGGGTCTCTGTGTTAGCCCGTGGGTCTCTGTGTTAGCCCGTGGGTCTTTGTGTTAGCCCGTGGGTCTCTGTGTTAGCCCGTGGGTCTCTGTGTTAGCCCGTGGGTCTCTGTGTTAGCCCGTGGGTCTCTGTGTTAGCCCGTGGGTCTCTGTGTTAGCCCGTGGGTCTCTGTGTTAGCCCGTGGGTCTCTGTGTTAGCCCGTGGGTCTCTGTGTTAGCCTGTGTGTCTTCATGTGAGCCTATGGGTCTCTGTAGGTGTCTATGGATCTCTATAGGAGTCTAATCAGACTGCGGGTCTCCACATGTGTCTATGGATCTCTGCGAGTCTGTGGGTGTTGGTGTTAATCTATGGGTCTCTGTGCGAGTCTTTGGGTTTCTATGCGAGTCTTTGGGTCTCTATGCGAGTCTTTGGGTGTCTGTGTAAACCATCGGCGAACCGGCCTGAGACAATGCGTGACTTTGCTGACACACGAGACCCCGGTGTGGTCTCTGCGGTTGGTACCGACAGAGACCCGGACTGGAACCGAGGCTCTTATAGGTGCCGGCTCAGCAGCGACCTCTGACCTCTAGGCCACCAGGAGGCCGCCTCTCGGCCTCTCTTAAGCCAAGCCGACATGGAGTGTGTGATGAGTCGATAAAAAAAAAAACCGATACGACTATTAACTCTTATTATTTGACGAGGTAAGGCCCCACTGACCTGTGTAGCTCTTTTAAGAAGCGTCCTGGCCATCGAGAATGATAGCCCAACGAAGTGGCTTACGATCATCATCATCGCGTGGAAATTAATAGTAGACGAATACTCGAAAGAAACGTCGATTATAAATGTGGAGGGGAAAAACCGGAGGCCCCGGAGAAAAATCCAGGCGGCAATCACAGAGAGAGAGAGACACGCAGACTCCAAATATACAGCAGCAGGCGTTAGGGCTGGGATCTAACCCACGACCTCCTGTATACCAGGCGAGGTAGTTAACATCTCCTAGCCACTGTGATGATGAGAGAGAGAGATACGCAGACTCCAAACATACAACAACAGGTGTCAGGGTCGGGAGCGAACCCACGACGTTCTGTATACCAGGCGAGGTAGTTAACATCTCCTAACCACTGTGATGATGATGAGAGAGAGAGACACAAACTCTAAATATACAGCAGCAGGCGTCAGGGTCGGAAGCGAACCCACGACGTCCTGTATACCAGGCGAGGTAGTCAACATCTCCTAGCCACTGTGATGATAATGAGAGAGATACGCAGACTCCAAATATACAGCAGCAGGTGTCAGGGCTGGGATCTAACCCACGACCTCCTGTATACCAGGCGAAGTAGTTAACATCTTCTAGCCACAGTGATGATGATGAGAGAGAGACACGCAGACTCCAAATATACAGAAGCAGGCGTCAGGGTCGGGATCGAACCCACGACCTCCTGTATACCGGGCGAGGTAGTTAACATCTCCTAGCCACCGTGGCGCCTGCTGCTGGATTTGTGGAGTCCGCGTGTCTCTCTCTCTCCGCCCATGCTCGTCTGGATTTTCCTCCGGATGTTTTCCCCCCACGTTTAGAATCGACGTACACTGGCCGCTATAAATTTCCCCGCGACAAGCCCCTCCCCGTTGGGCTGTCATTTATGGCCAGGTCACTTCTGAGAAAGGGCTACCCGGCTCAGCGGGCCTCAACCTGGTGAAATTAAAAAAAAAAGCAATCAATTGGTCAGCCGTTGCCGCAACGACTTGGTGGCCATCGCAGTGGCGACGGCGGTTCAGAAGGCCGTCTCCATGATGACGAGGTTGGTGGGGCGAGGGGGGAGCTCGCGCTTGGACTGCTCCTGGCGCACGGGCGGGCGGATACACGGCAGGGGTCAGGCACGGACAGGCGCGCAGCGGACGTACGCACACAGAGGCTAGACGCAGAGGTAAATAACGCACATGTTGCATTGCACTCTCTCACCCGTGTATCACCTGTACCGCATATCCCACCTACGTCTCACCTGTACCGCACGTCTCACCTGCGTCTCACCCGCGCCTCACCTGCACCGCATGGCCTGTGTGTCACCTGTACCGCACGTCTCACCTGCGTCTCACCTGCGTGTCATCTGCACCGCGCGTCTCTCACCTGGCGAGCGATCTCGGTGAGGGCGATTGCCTCTGCGCGCCCGGTCTGCTGCACGAGGCGCAGGAAGAGGCTGTCGGGGTCCTGCAACAGTGCGTGGGGGGAGTCCAGCTCCCGGATGTGACCCTCCTCCATCACCTGGGCACAGACAAGGCGGGGGGTGGAGGAGGCAAGAGCCGTTAGCGAGCGGCACCTATTAATCATTTATCATGAATATCATTCAACCAAATCTGTTCATGGTTTTGAACTCGCGCAAGGCCCACCGAGCTGCGAGGCTCTTCTTTTAGAAGCGCCCAGGCCATCATGAAACTTAGCTCCAGCAGGTGGCTGATGTCACCATCGCCGTGTGGAAATATCTAGTGGCAGCCAACCCACTCTCAGCGCGACACCACCGCTCCCCACTCACGTGAGCGGGGAGCGGTGGTGCAGCGGTCAGCGCCACGCCGCGCTACGAACCCACCGACACAGGTTCAATTCCCGCTCCCGGCCGACACCGGTGACGATTATCTGAAGCGTTCTTGGGCCTCTCCTAGGTCAACTTGGCCTGAAAATGAGTAGCTAGTTCGGTGCGCAGTAAACTTGGCCATAAGGGAGTGGTGCTGGACACCCACCCCCTCGTGTACCGTTCCGGCCTTCATAGGTGCTCGCTAACAGCACTTGCCCCTACAGTCTGTACAGGCTATATGGGGGATCTTTTTTATCTTTGTGTATGTATGTGTGTATGTATGTGAGTGTGTATGTATGTGAGTGTGTATGTAAGTGTGTATGTATGTGAGTGTGTATGTATGTGTGTATGTATGTGAGTGTGTATGTATGTGTGTGTATGTGAGTGAGTGTGTATGTGAGTCTATCTGTGAGTGTGTATGTGAGTGTGTATGTGAGTATGTATGTGAGTGTGTATGTACAGTGAGGGGAAAACGTATCTGATCCCCTACTGATTGTGTACGTTTGCCCACTGACAAAGAAATGATTAGTCTATAATTTTAACGGTAGGCTTATTTTAACAGTGAGAGACAGAATAGGCTTATTTTAACAGTGAGAGACAGAATAACAACAAAAATCCAGAAAAACGCATGTAAAAAAGTTATAAATTGATTTGCATTTTAATGAGGGAAATAAGTATTCGACCCCTCTGCAAAACATGACTTAGTACTTGGTGGCAAAACCCTTGTTGGCAATCACAGAAGTCAGACGTTTCTTGTAGATGGCCACCAGGTTTGCACACATCTGAGGAAGGATTTTGTCCCACTGCTCTTTGCTGATCTTCTCCAAGTCATTAAGGTTTCGAGGCTGACATTTGGCAACTCGAACCTTCAGCTCCCTCCACAGATTTTCTATGGGATTAAGGTCTGGAGACTGGCTAGGCCACTCCAGGACCTTAATGTGCTTCTTCTTGAGTCACTCCTTTGTTGCCTTGGCCGTGTGTTTTGGGTCATTGTCATGCTGGAATACCCATCCACGACCCATTTTCAATGCCCTGGCTGAAGGAAGGAGGTTCTCACCCAGTTCTCAACTGTATGTGGGCAGAGTGCTTATGACCGGCTCCAGTTTAACAACAGAGGTCTCACTCCGAATCAGTCGAGCGGCAATATCTTTTCATCGGTTGCGTAACGCTGTGTGGAAGCTACCTGGTCTGTCGCTCCGCACTAAGCTTCAGGTCTTCTCGGCCACGGTCATTCCCTCCCTTCTCTACGCTTGCGAAACGTGGACCCCCCTAATGGAACATCTTCGCCGGTTAGAAACATTTAGGCTGGCCTGCCTACGATCCATCCTGGGTTTAACCAGACTGGATTGTGTGAGGAGCTCACAAATCCTTGAAAGATCTGGGCAGGGTCCCATCGGTGAGCTCCTCCGGCAGGCAAGGCTGCGATGGCTGGGTCATGTAGCCCGCATGCCCAGCCACCGCATGCCGAAACAGCTTTTGTTTGGCCGGATTGAGGGGGCTAAGCGGGCGCGGCACGGGCTAGAGAAGAGATGGAGTGATGCGGTACAGGAGGACGTGGAGCTGAGTGGACTTGCCGATGACTGGTACCAGCGGTGTCAAGATCGGCCTCTGTGGAGGAGGCTCGTGAAGGATGCTACTGGGCAGTTGGAGGCAGTCGCCCTCCAACAACAACGGAGGGCGGAGGAGCGACGCTCACAACAGCGAGCGGAGCGCCGGGTGGCTAAAGCACAGCAGGTTGGCACAGTAGGGGGCACAGGTGGTGCATCAGCCAGTCATCTCAGTCAGTCGACCCGTGGCACCTGGGTCTGCCCCGTGACCTCCTGCCAGCGGGCGTTCGACACTTCACGTGGCCTCAGGGTGCACATAGCCTGGCACAAGCGTCGTGGTGACGTCACCGCCACTTAGTGGCGAATGGCGGTTGTTGTTGTTGTTGATGTATGTGTGTGTGTGAGTGTATGTGTGTATAAGTGTGTGTATGTGTGTGTGTATGTGTATGTGTGTGTATGTGTATGTGTGTGTATGTGTGTGTGTGAGTGTGTGTATGTGTGTGTGTGAGTGTGTGTATGTGTGTGTGTATGTGTGTGTATGTGTGTGTGTATGTGTGTGTGTGTATGTGTGTGTATGTGTGTGTGTGTGAGTGTGTGTGTGTATGTGTGTGTGTATGTGTGTGTATGTGTGTATGTGTGTGTGTATGTGTGTGTGTGTCTGTGTGTGTGTGTATGTGGCCAGATCAGCTCAATAACAACGGTAGGAGGCTGCTAGATTTTTGTGCAGCCCATGGGCTTGTAATTACCAACACGCTGTTCCGGCATCGGCGCATCCACACAACATCATGGATGCATGCCGGGTCCAAGCAAGAACATCTGCTGGACTACATAGTGACGGACCAGCGAATGCGAGCCCATGTCCTTGACACCAGGACCTACCGTGGAGCTGATCTGCCCTCTGACCATCGACTAGCCATCTGTAAGATGCGCCTGCCATTCTTCCACTCCGGTGGTGGGTGTACACCCAGGACCCCATTCCAACCTAAAGTGGCCTGGTCTCAGTTATCTGATGAAAGTTGCAAGCGAGAATTTCATCATCGCTTGCGGCTGGGATTGGCATCGTCCCCGACTCCTCCTGATGTCGAGGGTAAATGGGCGAGGTTTAGGACTGTGACTCATGCAGCTGCAATGGCTGCTTTGGGTACGCGGTCCAGACCTCCCCAGACACCCTGGATGACAGAGGAGTTGTTCAGGATGGTTGAGAAAAAGCGACAGGCCCACTGTCATCGGCTACAGAATCCCACGTCAGAGAATGAGGAGGCTTACCGCAGCCTTCGCTCGGAGGTTCGGAGAGCCGTGAGGCGCTGCAAGGATGGGTGGTGGTCGCGGGTTGCTGAGGAGATGGAGTCTGCCTCAGTGGCCCGTGATCACAAATCTCTATTTAACTCCATCAAAAAAGTAACCTGCAGCGCCACACCTATTACCATCATTAGGGGAAAAAACGGTGATCCAATTTCCGACCCCCAGGAACAGGTTCGCAGATTTTCTGAGCATTTCTGTGAGGTCCTGGGGGAGGTAAAATCCCTCAGCCAGGAAAACATCGTGGCACAAAGTGAGGATGACCCTGCTGAGGCTGTGGTGCCTCAAATATTGGATGAAGTCACCCCCTGTGAGTGGCTGGCTGAGGTGCCATCTGCTGAGGAAGTATTGAAGGCGATCCGGAGTCTGAGACCAGGAAAGGCAGCGGGCAGAGATGATCTCCCAAGCGAAATGCTGAGGGGGGGGGGGGGCGTTTGTGCACAGACTGCCCTATATGACATCATAACAACAGTCTGGACCACTGGACGGGTTCCGCAGGATTGGAAGGATGCCCTGGTGGTCCCCCTTTTTAAGAAGGGGGACCGCACAGACTGTAACAACTACAGGGGCATCTCACTCCTCAGTGTGCCGGGAAAGGTCCTGGCAAGGATTATTCAGCATCGCCTTGCCAGGCACGCTGAGGTGAGGCTTGCGGAGCCCCAATGCGGTTTCGGGAAAGGGCGGTCCTGCACAGATGCCATATTTTCTGTCCGTCTGCTACAGCAGAGGTGTAGGGAATTCCAACAAGACCTACATCTCTGCTTTATTGACCTGGTCAAGGCCTATGATACCATCAGTAGGCCTGGGCTCTGGGTTGTTCTTCGTGCTTTTGGAGTACCTGACCCTCTGCTCACGATCATTAAGGACCTTCATGATGGTGAGCGGGCCCGGGTAAAACTACGTGGCCGGGAGTCAGAGCCATTCCCTGTACACCTTGGGGTGCGACAGGGATGTCCTCTGGCTCCCACATTATTTAACATCTATTTTGACCACGTAGTTCGTGAAGCCTTCAATAGCTGTACCGGGGGAATCTCCATATGGTACAGATATAATGGGAGGCTAATCGATGCCCGGGTGCGGTCAAGGGATGGCTCCCTATTGCTCAACCACGTTATGTATGCTGATGATTTGGTAATAGCTGCTCAGTCAGAGGAGGAGTTGGAGACGTTGCTGCTGAGACTGGAGCGTGCCACTAAGAGGTGGGGCCTTACCATCAGCCCCACCAAAACTAAGCACCTGCCTGGGTATTTTGTACCATCGGACACTCCACCCCCACAACTCCCAATCAGTGATGGGGCAGTTGTGGAGAGAGTGGAGAGTTTCCCATACCTGGGCAGTGTGCTTATGACTGGCTCCAGTTTAACAGCAGAGGTCTCACTCCGAATCAGTCGAGCGGCAATATCTTTTCATCGGTTGCGTAACGCTGTGTGGAAGCTACCTGGTCTGTCGCTCCGCACTAAGCTTCAGGTCTTCTCGGCCACGGTCATTCCCTCCCTTCTCTACGCTTGCGAAACGTGGACCCCCCTAATGGAACATCTTCGCCGGTTAGAAACATTTAGGCTGGCCTGCCTACGATCCATCCTGGGTTTAACCAGACTGGATTGTGTGAGGAGCTCACAAATCCTTGAAAGATCTGGGCAGGGTCCCATCGGTGAGCTCCTCCGGCAGGCAAGGCTGCGATGGCTGGGTCATGTAGCCCGCATGCCCAGCCACCGCATGCCGAAACAGCTTTTGTTTGGCCGGATTGAGGGGGCTAAGCGGGCGCGGCACGGGCTAGAGAAGAGATGGAGTGATGTGGTACAGGAGGACGTGGAGCTGAGTGGACTTGCCGATGACTGGTACCAGCGGTGTCAAGATCGGCCTCTGTGGAGGAGGCTCGTGAAGGATGTTACTGGGCAGTTGGAGGCAGCCGCCCTCCAACAACAACGGAGGGCGGAGGAGCGACGCTCAGAACAACGAGCGGAGCGCCGGGTGGCTAAAGCACAGCAGGTTGGCACAGTAGGGGGCACAGGTGGTGCATCAGCCAGTCATCTCAGTCAGTCGACCCGTGGCACCTGGGTCTGCCCAGTGACCTCCTGCCAGCGGGCGTTCGACACTTCACGTGGCCTCACGGTGCACATAGCCTGGCACAAGCGTCGTGGTGACGTCACCGCCACTTAGTGGCGAATGGCGGTTGTTGTTGTTGTTGTGTATGTGTATGAGTGTGTGTGAGTGTGTATGTTTGTGTGTGTATCTATGTATATGTGTGTATGTGTGTATGTATGTGTGTATGTATGTGTGTGTATGTGTGTGTGTATGTGTGTGTATGTGTGTATGTATGTGTGTATGTGTGTGTATGTGTGTATGTATGTGTGTATGTGTGTATGTGTGTGTATGTGTATGTGTGTGTATGTGTGTATGTGTATGTATGTGTGTATGTGTGTGTGTGTGTATGTGTGTGTATGTGTGTGTATGTGTATATGTGTGTGTGTATGTGTGTATAAGTATGTGTGTGTGTATGTGTGTGTGTATGTGTGTGTATGTGTGTATGTGTGTGTATGTGTGTATAAGTATGTGTGTGTGTATGTGTGTATAAGTATGTGTGTGTGTATGTGTGTGTGTGTATGTGTATGTATGTATGTGTGAGTGTGTGTATGTGTGTATGTGTGTGGTGTGTGTGTGTATGTATATGTGTGTGTGTATGTGTGTGTGTATATGTGTGTGTGTATGTATGTATGTGTGTATGTATGTGTGTGGTGTGTGTGTGTATGTATGTGTGTATGTGTGTGTGTATGTGTGTGTGTATATGTGTGTGTGTATATGTGTGTGTATGTGTGTATATGTGTGTGTGTGTGTGGGTCACCATGATGCGGTCGCTGTCCACGATGGTATGGAGCCGGTGAGCGATGGTGAGCACGGTGCACCAGCGGAACTTCTCGCGGATCGTCTTCTGGATCAGCTCGTCCGTGCTGGGCACACAAAACACGCGCGGTTTAACAACACGCCGAGGCGTGCCAGCCTAGGTGCACCTCGAGGCTATCACGTGAAGCATGGAAGGTCACGTGACAAACCCAGGCACCGGCTGTCCCCGCGACTGCGCCAACTCGCTGCGTTTTATCCGCCCGGCGTTCCGCTCGTTGTTGTGAGCACCGTCGCTCCTCTGCCCTTCCGATGTTTCAACGCAGCAGGGGTCGTGGGGTGGAAGTGGGGTGCTGTGCGGTGAGTGCGGTGTGATGCGCGTGATAGGATCGGTGCGGTGCGCCGTGATACGCGGTATGATGCGCGTGATACGATTAAAATATATATATTTTTTATTTTACCAGGTAAGGCCCATTGAGCTGTAAAACTCTTTTGTCAGAAGCAAACTGACCACAAATGATAGCCCCATGAAGTGGCTTACCAAGTGGAAAGTTATAGCAGCCAAATACTCTGAGAACGTGTGATGTTGTGTGTAGAGAAAAACCAGAGGGCCCAGAGAAAAATCCACATGACCACGGGGAGAGAGAGAGAGAGAGAGAGACGCAAACTCGAAATATACAGCAGCAGCAGGTGTAAGGGTCGGGATCGATCACACGACCTCCTGTACACCAGGCGAGGTAGTTAACATCTCCTAGCCACCGTGATGATGATGAGAGAGAGACACGCAAACTCCAATAATTTCGAGGGCATCAGTGTCGGGATCGATCACACGACCTCCTGTACACCAGGCGAGGTAGTTAACATCTCCTAGCCACCGTGATGATGATGAGAGAGAGACACGCAAACTCCAATAATTTCGAGGGCATCAGTGTCGGGATCGATCACACGACCTCCTGTACACCAGGCGAGGTAGTTAACATCTCCTAGCCACCGTGATAATGATGATGAGAGAGAGACACGCAAACTCCAATAATTTCGAGGGCATCAGTGTCGGGATCGATCACACGACGTTCTGTACACCAGGCGAGGTAGTTAACATCTCCTAGCCACCGTGATGATGAGAGAGAGAGACACGCAAACTCCAATAATTTCGAGGGCATCAGTGTCGGGATCGATCACACGACCTCCTGTACACCAGGCGAGGTAGTTAACATCTCCTAGCCACCGTGGCGCCCTTAGTGCGGTGGCGTGCGGCGTCACCGCGGGTCGACGTTGGCGGTGGCCTCGTCGATGACCAGGATGTTGTTGTGGCGCAGCAGGGCGCGTGCCAGGCACACCAGCTGGCGCTGCCCCACGCTGAGGTTGGCGCCCGACTCGGCCAGCTCGGCGTCCAGACGCGCCGGGAACTCCTCCACCACAGAGCGCAGCTGCACCTGGGGGGGTAGGCACGCACGCGGGGGTACGCAGGCGTGGGTACGCAGGTGTGGGTACGTGCGTGGGTACGCAGGCGTGGGTACGTGCGTGGGTACGTGCGTGGGTACGCAGGCGTGGGTACGTGCGTGGCTACGTGCGTGTTGTTACCTCCTCGAGCGCTGCCCACAGGTCCTGGTCCGTGTGCTCCCCAAACGGATCCAGATTCTTCCTCATGGAGCCGGTGAACAGAACGGGATCCTGGGAGTGGCGGATGGGGCGGAACAGGGGGTGGGGGGAACAGGGGGAGGGGGTGGGGGGAACAGGGGGAGGGGGTGGGGGGAACAGGGGGAGGAGGTGAGGGGGAACAGGGGGAGGGGGTGGGGGGAACAGGGGGAGGGGGTGGGGGGAACAGGGGGAGGGGGTGGGGGGAACAGAGGAGTAGAACGCTTGTAAACTGAACGTTCCCGGGGTGTTGATGGGTGCGTGGTGTGCACGCCGCGGTGCGTGCCGTGAGCAGCGCGTTGCACGCGGCCACTCGCTCCGGACCGCCGCTCGCTCGGAGCCTTCCCACCGCCGCCGCCGCTGCCGCCTCCGCCGCCTCTGACGACGTGGAGGATTTGCGGAGTCGGACGCAGAGTTGCCACGGGGGGGGGGGGGGGGGGGGCATTGCCGCCGGTTACCTGGGGGATGATGGAGATGCGTCGGCGCAGGTCGTGGAGGCCGAGCGAGGAGGTGGCGATGCCGTCGATGACGATGCGGCCGCTCGGCTCCGCCAGGCGGAAGAGTGCGGCGAGCAGCGAGCTCTTGCCGGCGCCCGTGCGGCCCACAATGCCGATCTGCAGGAAACCGCGTCGAGGGGGGTGGCGGCCGTCAACGCGACCCCCTCACCTCCGAACAGTGACCCCTGCCCATGACCCTTGACCCCGACTATAGCTTGGTCGGCTACGCACGTGCACGTGCGCGTGCGTGCGCGCACCTGCGGCCCTTGAACCCGTGCACACGTGACCCCTAGACACGACCCTTACCCACGAGACCTTGAACCCGTGACACCAATCCATGACGCCTTGAACTTGTGACCCCGTACCAGTAACCGCTACCTGTAGTTTACGAACCTATGACCCCGACCTGTTTCCCCACGACCCAGGGCTGCCACGGTGGCTAGGAGATGTTGACTACCTCGCCTGGTATGCAGGAGGCCGTGGGTTCGATCCCGACCCTGACGATGCCTGCTGCTGCTGCTGCTGTATATTTGGAGTCTGCGTGGATTTGTCTCCGGCTCCTCCGGCTATTCCCTCTGCATTTGGAATCAACGTCACCACACGTTGAGGGAAATTTGTCTCCTGTAAATTTCCACGCGACGACGACGATGATGATGATGAGCCAGAACTGAGCCATCATTTGTGATTGCCGGCTCGTGTCTGACCCTGAGTGACCCCAGTGACCCCAGTGACTGAGTGACCCCAGTGACTGAGTGACCCCAGTGACCCCGAGTGACCCCAGTGACCCCAGTGACTGAGTGACCCGAGTGACCCCTAGTGACCCCGAGTAACCCCAGTGACTGAGTGACCCGAGTGACCCCGAGTGACCCCGAGTGACCCCAAGTGATCCCAGTGACTGAGTGACCCCAGTGACCCCAGTGACTGAGTGACCCGAGTGACCCCGAGTGACCCCAGTGAATGAGTGACCCCAGTGACTGAGTGACCCGAGTGACCCCGAGTGACCCCGAGTGATCCCAGTGACTGAGTGACCCCAGTGACTCCAGTGACTGAGTGACCCCGAGTGACCCCAGTGACCCCAGTAACTGAGTGACCCCGAGTGACCCCAGTGAATGAGTGACCCCAGTGACTGAGTGACCCGAGTGACCCCGAGTGACCCCAGTGACTGAGTGACCCGAGTGACCCCGAGTGACCCCGAGTGACCCCAGTGACTGCGTGACCCCAGTGACCCCGAGTGACCCCAGTGAATGAGTGACCCCAGTGACTGAGTGACCCGAGTGACCCCGTGTGACCCCGAGTGACCCCGAGCGACGCCAGTGACCCCGAGCGACCTTCTCTCCGGGGTGGATGGTGGCGTTGAGGTTGTACAGCACGGGCCGCGTGGAGCCCGGATAGCGCAGGGAGACGTCCTGCAGGCAGAGGGCACCGCGTGATGGCCACCCGGCGGGGGGCCGCTTCTCCGCCTCCCAGGGGGCCTCCGGCTCCAGCTCAGAGTACTCCAGCACCCGCTCCACCGACGTCATCTGTGGCATCGACGTCGTTATAGACATCGTCACGGACATCGTTATAGACATCATGGACATCATTATAGACATCATGGACATCGTCACGGACATCGTTATAGACAACGTCACGGACATCGTTATAGACAACGTCACGGACATCGTCACGGACATCATTATAGACATCATGGACATCGTCACGGACGTCACGGACATCGTCACGGACATCGTCACGGACATCGTCACGGACATCGTTATAGACATCATGGACATCATTATAGACATCGTCACGGACATCGTTATAGACATCATGGACATCATTATAGACATCATGGACATCGTCACGGACATCGTCACGGACATCGTTATAGACATCATGGACATTATTATAGACATCGTCACGGACATCGTTATAGACATCATGGACATCATTATAGACATCATGGACATCGTCACGGACATCGTCACGGACATCGTTATAGACAACGTCACGGACATCGTCACAGACATCGTTATAGACATCATGGACATCGTCACGGACGTCACGGACATCGTCACGGACATCGTCACGGACAACGTCACGGACATCGTCACGGACAACGTCACGGACATCGTCACGGACATCGTTATAGACATCGTCACGGACATCGTCACGGACAACGTTATAGACAGTCACGGACATCGTCACGGACAACGTCACGGACATCGTTATAGACATCGTTATAGACATCGTCACGGACAACGTCACAGACATCGTCACGGACAACGTCACAGACATCGTCACGGACAACGTCGCGGACATCGTTATAGACATCGTCACGGACAACGTCACAGACATCGTCACGGACAACGTCGCGGACATCGTCACGGACATCGTCACGGACATCGTTATAGACATCATGGACATCGTCACGGACGTCACGGACATCGTCACGGACATCGTCACGGACATCATCATGGACATCGTTACGGACATCGTTATAGACATCGTCACGGACATCGTTACGGACATCGTTACGGACATCGTTATATACATCGTCACGGACAACGTCACGGACATCGTCACGGACATCGTCACGGACATCGTCACGGACATCGTTATAGACATCGTCACGGACAATGTCACGGACAACGTCACGGACAACGTTATGGACATCGAACACGGACATCATTACAGACATCGTTATAGACATCATCATGGACATCGTCATGGACAACGTTACGGACATCGCCACGGACATCGCCACGGACATTGTCACAGGAGACATCATTGGTGACGATGATCACGATGATGATGATGATGATGCTGCTGCTGCTGGCAGTGGTAGCGGTGGTAGCGGTGGTAGCGGTGGTGGCGGTGGTAGCGGTGGTAGCGGTGGTGGCGGTAGCGGTGGTAGCGGTGGTGGCGGTAGCGGTAGTAGCGGTGGCTGCGGCGGTGGTGGCGGTGATGGCGGTGGTAGCGGTGGTGGCGGTAGCGGTGGTAGCGGTGGTGGCGGTAGCAGCGGTGGCTGTGGCGGTGGTGGCGGTGGCTGTGGCGGTGGCTGCGGTGGCGGCGGTGGTGGTGGTGGTGGTGGCGGTGGTAGCGGTGGCTGCGGCAGTGGTGGCGGTGGTGGCGGTGGTGGTGGTGATGGTGGCGGTGGTGGTGCGAGGCTCACGTAGCTCTCCACCTCGGCGCTCTGCCGCACACCCCACTGGAACATCCCGGTGAGACTCATGGCGTAGGACAGCGCCAGGCCCACCTGCCCCGCGGCCAGACCTCACGGGGAGACGTGGGGGGCACACGGGGAGACACGGGGAGACACGGGGAGAGACGGGGAGACACGGGGAGACACGGGGAGACACGGGGAGACACGGGGAGACACGGGGAGACACGGGGAGACACGGGGAGACGTGGGGGGCACACAGGGAGACGTGGGGGGCACACGGGAGAGACACGGAGAGACACGGAGAGACACGGGGAGACACGGGGAGACACGGGGAGAGACGTGTCGGGGAGACACGAGGAGACACGGGGAGACACGGGGAGACACGGGGAGACACGGGGAGACACGGGGAGAGACGGGGAGACACGGGGAGACACGGGGAGACACGGGGAGACACGGGGAGACACGCGCCGGGGAGACATGGGGAGACACGGGGAGACACGGGGAGACACGGGGAGACACGGGGAGACACAGGGAGAGACGTGCCGGGGAGACACGGGGAGACACGGAGAGAGACGTGCCCGGGAGACACGGGGAGACACGGGGAGACACGGGGAGACACAGGGAGAGACGTGCCGGGGAGACACGGGGAGACACGGGGAGACACGGTTAGACGGAGAGATGTGGGGAGACGCGAGGGGCACACGGGGCGAGGTGGGGCCGCGCGGCGAGGTGGGGCCACGTGACGAGGTGGGGCCACGTGACGAGGTGGGGCCACGCGACGAGGTGGGGCCACGTGACGAGGTGGGGCCACGTGACGAGGTGGGGCCGCGCTCACTGCTGGAGATGAAGATGGAGCTGAAGGAGACGGCGGTGACGAAGACGGCACAGAGGAGGTCGAGCCTCACGGCGAGCCAGCGGGAGGTGGTGAGGAAGAGGAACCACGCCTCTACACTCACACACCAGACAAAGATCCCCCGGGTAGCCTACACAGACTGCCGCGGCAAGTGCTGTCAGCGAGCAGCAGCTATGAAGGTCGGTTACAGCACACACACGCACACACACGCACGATCACACGCATAGACGGAGTTGCGGTGAGTATGGTGATGAGCGTGGCGGTGAGTGTGGTCGTGAGTGGGTGAGCGTGGGAGTGAGTTGGTGAGTGTGACGGTGAGTGTGGCGGTGAGCGTGGTAGTGAGCGGGTGAGTGTGGCGGTGAGTGTGGCGGTGAGCGTGGTAGTGAGCGGGTGAGTGTGGCGGTGAGCATGGTAGTGAGCGGGTGAGTGTGGCGGTGAGTGTGGTAGTGAGTGGGTGAGCGTGGCGGTGAGCGGGTGAGCGTGCGGGTGAATGGGTGAGTGTGACTGTGAGTACGATGGTGAGCGTGCTAGTGAGCGGGTGAGCGTGGCGGCGAGCGTGGCGGCGAGCGTGGTAGTGAGTGTGGTAGTGAGCGTGGCGGTGAGTGTGGTAGTGAGCGTGGCGGTGAGTGTGGTAGTGAGCGTGGCGGTGAGTGTGGTAGTGAGCGTGCTAGTGAGCGGGTGAGCGTGGCGGCGAGCGTGGCGGCGAGCGTGGTAGTGAGTGTGGTAGTGAGCGTGGCGGTGAGTGTGGTAGTGAGCGTGGTGGTGAGTGTGGTAGTGAGCGTGGCGGTGAGTGTGGTAGTGAGCGTGGCGGTGAGTGTGGTAGTGAGCGTGGCGGTGAGTGTGGTAGTGAGCGTGGCGGTGAGTGTGGTAGTGAGCGTGGCGGTGAGTGTGGTAGTGAGCGTGGCGGTGAGTGTGGTAGTGAGCGTGGTAGTGAGTGTGGTAGTGAGTGTGGTAGTGAGTGTGGTAGTGAGCGTGGCGGTGAGTGTGGTAGTGAGCGTGGCGGTGAGTGTGGTAGTGAGCGTGGCGGTGAGTGTGGTAGTGAGCGTGGCGGCGAGCGTGGTAGTGAGTGTGGTAGTGAGTGTGGTAGTGAGTGTGGTAGTGAGTGTGGTAGTGAGCGTGGCGGCGAGTGTGGTAGTGAGCGTGGCGGTGAGTGTGGTAGTGAGCGTGGCGGCGAGCGTGGTAGTGAGTGTGGTAGTGAGTGTGGTAGTGAGTGTGGTAGTGAGTGTGGTAGTGAGCGTGGTAGTGAGCGTGGTGGTGAGTGTGGTAGTGAGCGTGGCAGCGAGTGTGGTAGTGAGCGTGTCGGTGAGTGTGGTAGTGAGTGTGGTAGTGAGCGTGGTAGTGAGTGTGGTAGTGAGCGTGGTAGTGAGTGTGGTAGTGAGTGTGGTAGTGAGTGTGGCGGTGAGTGTGGTAGTGAGTGTGGTAGTGAGCGTGGTAGTGAGTGTGGTAGTGAGTGTGGCGGCGAGTGTGGTAGTAAGCATGATAGTGAGTGTGGTAGTGAGCGTGGCGGTGAGTGTGGTAGTGAGTGTGGCGGTGAGTGTGGTAGTGAGCGTGGCGGCGAGTGTGGTAGTGAGCGTGGTGGTGAGTGTGGTAGTGAGCGTGGTGGTGAGTGTGGTAGTGAGTGTGGTAGTGAGTGTGGTAGTGAGCGTGGCGGCGAGTGTGGTAGTGAGCGTGGCGGCGAGTGTGGTAGTGAGTGTGGTAGTGAGTGTGGCGGCGAGTGTGGTAGTAAGCATGATAGTGAGTGTGGTAGTGAGTGTGGTAGTGAGTGTGGTAGTGAGCGTGGCGGCGAGTGTGGTAGTGAGCGTGGCGGCGAGTGTGGTAGTGAGCGTGGTGGTGAGTGTGGTAGTGAGCGTGGTGGTGAGTGTGGTAGTGAGCGTGGTAGTAAGCATGATAGTGAGTGTGGTAGTGAGCGTGGCGGTGAGTGTGGTAGTGAGTGTGGCGGTGAGTGTGGTAGTGAGTGTGGCGGTGAGTGTGGCAGTGAGTGTGGTAGTGAGTGTGGTAGTGAGCGTGGCGGCGAGTGTGGTAGTGATCGTGGCGGCGAGTGTGGTAGTGAGCGTGGTGGTGAGTGTGGTAGTGAGCGTGGTGGTGAGTGTGGTAGTGAGCGTGGTGGTGAGTGTGGTAGTGAGCGTGGCGGTGAGTGTGGTAGTGAGTGTGGTGGTGAGTGTGGTAGTGAGCGTGGTGGTGAGTGTGGTAGTGAGCATGGCGGTGAGTGTGGTAGTGAGTGTGGTAGTGAGTGTGGTAGTGAGCGTGGTAGTGAGTGTGGTAGTGAGTGTGGTAGTGAGCGTGGCGGTGAGTGTGGTAGTGAGCGTGGCGGTGAGTGTGGTAGTGAGCGTGGCGGTGAGTGTGGTAGTGAGTGTGGTGGCGAGCGTGGTAGTGAGCGTGGCGGTGAGTGTGTTAGTGAGTGTGGCGGTGAGTGTGGTAGTGAGTGTGGCGGTGAGTGTGGTAGTGAGTGTGGTAGTGAGTGTGGTAGTGAGTGTGGTAGTGAGTGTGGTAGTGAGTGTGGTAGTGAGTGTGGTAGTGAGCGTGGTAGTGAGTGTGGTAGTGAGTGTGGTAGTGAGCGTGGCGGTGAGTGTGGTAGTGAGCGTGGCGGTGAGTGTGGTAGTGAGCGTGGCGGTGAGTGTGGTAGTGAGTGTAGTGGTGAGTGTGGTAGTGAGCATGGCGGTGAGTGTGGTAGTGAGTGTGGTAGTGAGTGTGGTAGTGAGCGTGGTAGTGAGTGTGGTAGTGAGCGTGGTAGTGAGTGTGGTAGTGAGCGTGGCGGTGAGTGTGGTAGTGAGTGTGGTAGTGAGCGTGGTAGTGAGCGTGGTGGTGATTGTGGCGGTGAGTGTGGCGGTGAGCGTGGCGGTGAGCGTGGTGGTGAGTGTGGTAGTGAGTGTGGTAGTGAGTGTGGTAGTGAGCGTGGCGGTGAGTGTGGTAGTGAGTGTGGTAGTGAGTGTGGTAGTGAGTGTGGTAGTGAGTGTGGTAGTGAGTGTGGTAGTGAGCGTCGCGGTGAGCGTGGTAGTGAGTGTGGTAGTGAGTGTGGTAGTGAGCGTGGTGGTGAGTGTGGTGGTGAGTGTGGTAGTGAGCGTGGTGGTGAGTGTGGTGGTGAGTGTGGTAGTGAGTGTGGTAGTGAGTGTGGTAGTGAGCGTGGCGGCGAGTGTGGTAGTGAGTGTGGTAGTGAGCGTGGTAGTGAGTGTGGTAGTGAGTGTGGTAGTGAGCGTGGTAGTGAGTGTGGTAGTGAGCGTGGTGGTGAGTGTGGTGGTGAGTGTGGTAGTGAGTGTGGTAGTGAGCGTGGTAGTGAGTGTGGTGGTGAGTGTGGTAGTGAGTGTGGTAGTGAGTGTGGTAGTGAGTGTGGTGGTGAGTGTGGTGGTGAGTGTGGTAGTGAGTGTGGTAGTGAGTGTGGTAGTGAGTGTGGTAGTGAGCGTGGCGGTGAGTGTGGTAGTGAGTGTGGCGGTGAGTGTGGTAGTGAGTGTGGTAGTGAGTGTGGTAGTGAGTGTGGTAGTGAGTGTGGTGGTGAGTGTGGTAGTGAGTGTGGTAGTGAGTGTGGTAGTGAGTGTGGTAGTGAGTGTGGTAGTGAGTGTGGCGGTGAGTGTGGTAGTGAGCGTGGCGGTGAGTGTGGTAGTGAGCGTGGCGGTGAGTGTGGTAGTGAGTGTGCTAGTGAGTGTGGTAGTGAGTGTGGTGGTGAGTGTGGTAGTGAGTGTGGTAGTGAGTGTGGTAGTGAGTGTGGTAGTGAGTGTGGTGGTGAGTGTGGTAGTGAGTGTGGTAGTGAGCGTGGTAGTGAGTGTGGTAGTGAGTGTGGTAGTGAGCGTGGCGGTGAGTGTGGTAGTGAGTGTGGTGGTGAGTGTGGTAGTGAGCGTGGCGGTGAGCGTGCTAGTGAGCGGGTGAGCGTGGCGGTGAGTGTGGTAGTGAGTGTGGTAGTGAGCGTGGCGGTGAGTGTGGTAGTGAGTGTGGTGGTGAGCGTGGCGGTGAGTGTGGCGGTGAGTGCTCACCGGTGTGCACGTCCTGCAGGGAGTCGAAGGTGCTCTGGAAGTGCCTCTGCACGTGGAACGCGCGCACCACGGGGAGACCCTGCAGCGACGACGACAGGTGGGAGAACACGGGGCTCCTCGCTGGGGGCGGGGCGGGGACAAACATAAAGAGCGGAGCACCAGTTCGTAGAGACACGCGGGGACACGCGGGGACACGCGGGGACACGTGGGGACACGCGGGGACACGCGGGGACACGCGGGGACACGCGGGGACACGCGGAGACACGTGGGGACACGTGGGGACACGCGGGGACAAGTAGAGACACGCGGGGACACGTGGGGACACGTGGAGACACGCGGGGACACGCGGGGACACGCGGGGACACGCGGGGACACGTAGAGACACGTGGGGACACGTGGGGACACGCGGGGACACGCGGGGACACGCGGGGACACGTGGGGACACCGATGGGGAGGTGCGGCACCTCCTCACCACCTCCTCACCACCTCCTCACCACCTCCTCACCACCTCCTCCTCCTCACCGGTGGCCTCGAGCCTCTTGATGTTGCGTGCGGTGAGGAGGTAGTAGCGGCGCAGCAGGAAGAAAACGACGAGCAGGGGGACGACGGGGATCATGACCCAGGGCACAACGCCCACCGCCACGCTCATCGCACCCACGATCTGCAGGGACGTCTGGGGGGGGGGGGGGCACGGGGGGGGGGTGATATGTCGACGAGGTACTGTCGTCGTCATCGCAGTCGTCACAATCGCGATCGTCGCCACGATCACCACGGCCACCACCACCATCATCGTCATCGCCATCACAACCGCCATCGTCATCACCGCCATTTGCCGTCACCATCGCAATCACCATCACCGTCACCATAACAACCACCGTGATCATCACCGCCATCATGACCGCCACCACCACCATCTCCGATTAGCACGGTTGGCTACGTACGGTGCGAAAGAAGTTCAGCACACACGTGTAAAATCATCATCACCACAACCACCACCATCATCACCACCACCACCACCATCATCACCACCGCCAATGTCACCACCATCATAGACCATCACCACTCCCATCACTACCATTTTACTACCACCACATCACCACATCTCCATCTACACACGACCATCATCACCACCACCAAAGACAAAGGCCCCCTCCATAGCCTGGATAGACTCTGTGTGTGTGTGCAGGGACCGTTTGGGCAAGTGCCTTTAGCGAGTAGCACCACCCATGAAGCCCGGCACGGCACACGAGGGGGTGGGTGGCCAGCACCACGCCCGACCGCCTTTGTCTCCCCGGTGGCGATGTTTACTACGCACCGCACCAGGTACTCATTTGAGGCTGAGTCGACCTAGGGGAGGCCCAGGACCGGTTCAGATAATCGTCAGCGCGCTAACCGCTGCACCACCGCTACCATCGCCGTCCACCATCGCCGTCACGGTGATGTCAGGCTCAGCCTCACCTGCGCAAAGTCGAGGAAGGTGATGGGGAGGAGGTCGTCCATCTGGCCAATGTCCTTGGAGAAGCGGTTGAGCACCCGGCCTGCCATCGACATCACCACCATCACCACCATCACCGCCATCATCACCACCACCATCATCACCACCACCATCATCACCACCACCATCAACACCATAATCACCACCTTCACCACTATCACCATCATCCCACCATCACCACCATCACCGACATCACCGCCATCACCATCACCACCACCATCACCACCACCACCAACACCATCACCACCACCACCTTCACCACCATCACCATCATCACCACCACCATCACCACCACCATCACCACTGCATCACGATCTACAACCCTACATGACATCATCCACATCACACCATCACCACGTCAGCGGACAGACACATGGACAAAACAGACAGACTAACAGATGAACGGATAGACCGATGAACGGACAGACAGATGAACAGACAGTCAGATGAACAGACAGTCAGATGAACAGACAGATGTACAGTCAGATGAACAGACAGACAGATGAACAGTCAGATGAACAGATAGATGTACAGTCAGATGAACAGAAGGACAGATGGACACCCAGATGAACAGATAGACAGATGAACAGACAGATGTACAGTCAGATGAACAGACAGATGTACAGTCAGATGAACAGACAGACAGATGTACAGTCAGATGAACAGACACATGTACAGTCAGATGAACAGAAGGACAGATGGACACACAGATGAACAGATATACAGATGAACGGACAGACAGATCGACAGTCAGATGAACAGACAGACAGATGAACAGTCAGATGAACAGACAGACAGATGAACAGACAGTCAGAAGAACAGACAGACAGATGAACGGACAGACAGATCGACAGTCAGATGAACAGATAGATAGATGAACAGACAGATAGATGAACAGATAGACAGATGAACGGACAGACAGATGAACAGACAGACAGATCGACAGACAGATGAACAGATGGACAGATGAACGGACAGACAGATGTACAGTCAGATGAACAAAAGGACAGATGAACAGACAGATGGATACACAGATGAACAGATAGACAGATGAACGGACAGATGTACAGTAAGATGAACAGACAGACAAATGAACAGACAGACAGATCGACAGTCAGATGAACAGACAGACAGATGAACAGTTAGATGAACAGACAGACAGATGAACAGACAGACAGATGAACAGATAGACAGATGAACGGACAGATGTACAGTCAGAAGAACAGACAGACAGATGAACGGACAGACAGATCGACAGTCAGATGAACAGATAGATAGATGAACAGACAGATAGATGAACAGATAGACAGATGAACGGACAGACAGATGAACAGACAGACAGATCGACAGACAGATGAACAGATGGACAGATGAACGGACAGACAGATGTACAGTCAGATGAACAAAAGGACAGATGAACAGACAGATGGATACACAGATGAACAGACAGACAGATGAACGGACAGATGGACACACAGATGAACAGACAGACAGATGAACAGATAGTCAGATGAACAGATAGACAGATGAACAGACAGACAGATGAACAGATAGACAGATGAACGGACAGACAGATAGACAGATGAACAGATGGACAGATGAACGGACAGACAGGTGGACAGATGAACAGATAGACAGATGAACAGAACGTATTCTTGGTTATTTCGGTAAAGTCACGTAGAGAGAAAACAAAAATCTAAATTAAAAGCAAATAAACCCCACGACGTTTCGATCGCAACCCAAACGGTCTTGTTCAGGTGGAGAGAGATAAAAAAAAATGAACAGAACGATGAAGAGACGGACAGAGGAACGGACGGACGTACAGTCAGATGAACAGATGCACACAGAGGTGAACAGACGGCTTTGTCCGAGCAGCGTCTCTCTCGCGTTGGCGGCGAGGCGAGCGGTGGCGGCGGCGGCCTCACCGATGGGGTTGACGTCGTAAAAGTAAACGGGGGCACGCAGCACTGAGGAGAACATTCGGTTGTGCAGCACTCGCGACGCCGTCACCAGCACCTTGAGGAACAGCAGGCAGCGGGCCATCCCCAGCAGCACCACGCCCAGCGTCACACCTGCACCGTCACACCGTGCCGTCACACCGCGCCGTCACGCCGCGCCGTCACGCCGTGCCGTCACACCTCGCCGTCACACCTACACTGTCACACCTACACTGTCACACCTGCACTGTCACACCTGCACCGTCACACCTGCACCGTCACACCTACACCGTCACACCTACACCGTCACACCTACACCGTCACACCTACACCGTCACACCTACACTGTCACACATACACTGTCACACCTACACCATCACACCTACACCGTCACACATACACCATCACACCTACACCATCACACCTACACTGTCACACCTACACTGTCACACCTACACTGTCACACCTGCACTGTCACACCTGCACTGTCACACCTACACTGTCACACCTACACCGTCACACCTACACTGTCACACCTACACTGTCACACCTACACTGTCACACCTACACCGTCACACCTACACTGTCACACCTGCACCGTCACACATACACCGTCACACATACACCGTCACACCTACACTGTCACACCTGCACTGTCACACCTACACCGTCACACCTACACCGTCACACCTACACTGTCACACCACACCATCACACCTGCACCGTCACACCTACACTGTCAAACCTGCACCATCACACCTGCACCGTCACACCTACACCGTCAAACCTACACCGTCACACCACACCGTCACACCTACACTGTCACACATACACTGTCACACTGCGCCATCACACCTGCACCGTCACACCTACACCGTCACACCACACCATCACACCTGCACCGTCACACCTACACTGTCACACCATGCCATCACACCTGCACTGTCACACCTACACCGTCACACCTGCACAGTCACACCACACCATCACACATACACCGTCACACCACACCGTCACACCTACACTGTCACACCACACCATCACACCCACACTGTCACACCTGCACCGTCACACCTGCACCGTCACACCTGCACCGTCACACCTACACTGTCACACCATGCCATCACACCTGCACTGTCACACCTACACCATCACACCTGCACAGTCACACCACACCATCACACATACACTGTCACACATACACCGTCACACCACACCGTCACACCTACACTGTCACACCTACACTGTCACACCTGCACCGTCACACCTACACCGTCACACCTACACCGTCACACCTACACTGTCACACATACACTGTCACACCTACACCATCACACCTACACCGTCACACCTACACCGTCACACATACACCATCACACATACACCATCACACCTACACCATCACACCTACACTGTCACACATACACTGTCACACCTACACTGTCACACCTGCACTGTCACACCTACACCGTCACACCTACACTGTCACACCTACACCGTCACACCTACACTGTCACACCTACACTGTCACACCTACACTGTCACACCTACACCGTCACACCTACACTGTCACACCTGCACCGTCACACATACACCGTCACACATACACCGTCACACCTACACTGTCACACCTGCACTGTCACACCTACACCGTCACACCTACACCGTCACACCTACACTGTCACACCACACCATCACACCTGCACCGTCACACCTACACTGTCAAACCTGCACCATCACACCTGCACCGTCACACCTACACCGTCAAACCTACACCGTCACACCACACCGTCACACCTACACTGTCACACATACACTGTCACACTGCGCCATCACACCTGCACCGTCACACCTACACCGTCACACCACACCATCACACTTGCACCGTCACACCTACACTGTCACACCATGCCATCACACCTGCACTGTCACACCTACACCGTCACACCTGCACAGTCACACCACACCATCACACATACACCGTCACACCACACCGTCACACCTACACTGTCACACCACACCATCACACCTACACTGTCACACCTGCACCGTCACACCTGCACCGTCACACCTGCACCGTCACACCTACACTGTCACACCATGCCATCACACCTGCACTGTCACACCTACACCGTCACACCTGCACAGTCACACCACACCATCACACATACACTGTCACACATACACCGTCACACCACACCGTCACACCTACACTGTCACACCACACCATCACACCTACACTGTCACACCTGCACCGTCACACCACACCGTCACACCTGCACCGTCACACATACACCGTCACACCTACACTGTCACACCATGCCATCACACCTGCACTGTCACACCTACACCGTCACACCTGCACAGTCACACCACACCATCACACCTACACCGTCACTCCTGCAAAGTCATACCACACCATCACACCTACACCGCACTATACCACACCACCACACCTACAGCAGCGCCCCATTCATAGTAGCACCACGCCCAGCGTCACACCGTAACACCACCCCTACAGCACACCGCACCATCACACTTACACCGCACCACATCACACCACCACTCCTACATCTGACCAATACATTTACATAACCCCCTCGGGAGTGTAATGGACTAATCCATGAAAACCCCCCCTCCCTGTTTGTGTGATGGACTGACCCAGACACAATTATAATGGACAGACCGATAAAATACCCCTACCTCCATGGGAGTGTAATGGACTAATCCATGATAACCCTCCATGGCTGTGAGATGGATCAACCAACACACACAATCATAATGCACTGACCAATAAAAGACCTTACCCCACCTCTGCGGGAGTGTAATGGACTCGTCCACCATAGCCCCCCCCCCCCCCGCACTTACACCCCCCCAGCTGAGCGTGAGATGGACCGACCCGCATATATCCCGATGTAGTAGGAGAGGTCAAGGGGGTCCGGCTGAGGCCCCGCAGTCTCGTTCAGGGTCCCCGTCGCGTTCCACTTCATCACCACCTCCTGCTGCGTCGCCCTGCACGCCGCATGCGCGCGGGACGTGCCTAGGTCAGCTCAGAGAGAAATGTGTGCGTGTGGCACAGCGGGTGTGCGCGCGTGTGTAGCGGTTAGCGCGCTGCGCTACGAACCCGGCGACCCAAGTTATATTCCCGCTCACGGCCAACACCGGTGATGATTATATGAACTAGTCCTGGGCCTCCCCTAGGTAGACTCAGGCTCAAACGAGTACCTGATGCGGTGTGTAAACATCGCCGCTAGGGAGACAAAGGCGGCCGGGCGTGGTGCTGGCCAGCCACTCCCTCGTGTGCCGTGCCGGCCTTCATAGGTGCTACTCGCTAACAACACTTGTCCCTACAGTCTGTTAAGGCTACACGGGGGATCTTTGTCTTTGTTTGCGTGTGTGCGGAGCGCGTGTTGAATTGCGACGAACCAGTAGGAGAGCCACCAGTCCTGCAACACGTAGAGAACCTGGGGAGACAAAGACGGACAGACACTCACACTCTGACCGAAACAAAGCTCCCCCGCATAGCCTTAACAGACTGTTGGGGCAAGTGCAGTTAGCAAGCACCTGTTAAGGTCAGCATGAAACACGAGGGGGTGGGTAGCCAGCACCACGTCCGGCCGCCTCCCCATTGGCGATGTTTACACACCGCACCAGGTTTTTATTTGAGGCTGAGCGGACCTAGGGGAGGCCTAGTACCGGTTTGGACAATTGTCACTGGTGTTGGTGGCCGTGAGCGGGAATTGAACTCGGGTCGCCGGGTTCGTAGCGCACTGCACCACCACTCCCCAATAACAACAACCGCCATTCGCCACTAAGTGGCGGTGATGTCACCACGACGCTTGTGCCAGGCTATGTGCACGTTAAGGCCACGTGAAGTATTGAAGGCTCGCTGGCAAGAGGTTATGGGACAGACCCTGCAGGTGCCATGGGTCGACTGACTGAGATGAGTGGCCGATGCACCACCTGTGCCCCCTACCGTACCAACTTGCTGTATTCTAGCCACCCGGTGCTCCACTCGTTGTTGTGAGCGTCACTCCTCTGCCCTCCGTTGTTGCTGGCGGGCGACTGCCTCCAACTGCCCAGTAGCATCCTTCACGAGCCTCTTCCACAGAGGCCGATCTTGACACCGCTGGTACCAGTCATCGGCAAGTCCACTCAGCTCCACATCCTCTTGTACCACATCACTCCATCTCCTCTCCAGCCCCTGCCACGCCCGTTTAGCCCCTTCTATCCGGCCGAACGAAAGCTGTTTAGGCATGCAGTGGCTGGACATGCGGGCTACATAATCTAGCCATTAACACACACACACAGACACGCGATCCGGTACAGCTGGGACCATTTGTTGATCAAGGTAAGGACCCACTGAGCGATGTAGCTCAGAAGAGACCTGGTAATCACAAATGATCACTCGACGAAGTGGCTTTACCATCATCATCACGTGGAAATCGCTAGTGGCGGTTAAATTACCGTAAACGCGTGGTGATGTTGATTCTAAACGTGGAAGAGAAGAACCAGAGGATCCAGAGAAAAATCCACGTGACCACAGGGAGAGAGACAGACACGCAGACTCCAAATATAAAGCAGCAGGCGTCAGGGTTGGGATCGAACCCACGACCTCCTGTACACCAGGCGAGGGATATAACATCTCCAAGCCCCCGAAGCACGATGGACAGAATTTTAACTGGTGCCTGTTTACCGGGTCCATCACCTGAACGCGTTTGAAACTGGCACCGGACCGAAGGCTGGAAACCCCCAACGAGCCCCCGCCCAGTGCGATGAGCGTCGCTAAGGAAACCCCGCCCATCACCTCCCTGGGAGTCACGGCAACCGGGACACACGGCAACCGGGAGACACGGCAAACCGGGAGACACGGTAACCGGGAGACACGATAACCAGGCATCACAGCAACCAGACGTCACGGCAACCGGATGTCACGGCATCTGGGAAACTCGGAAACCGGTAGATATGGTAACTGTGCATCACGGTGACCTGCTGACCCCTCACCGTGGCGCCCACGTTGACCGCCAGCAGTAGAAGCAGCATGGCGATGCTGGCGCCGGCCCTGAAGTAGCGCTTGTACACCGAGAAGCCCACATTGCCTTGGGCGCGGTGCTCCTCCATCACGTCCACCGGTACCCCCTCCTCCTGATCACCACGGCAACGGGACGTCACGGCAACCGAGCATTATGGCAGCCGGGAGCAACGGCAACCGGCGAGACGCAAAAACAACGGGGACGGGCACGAGTGTCACCCGGAGCTCTCGTGGGGAAACTAAACAACACACCCTCCTCGTCCTCGTCGCCACGGTTACTGGCATCGTGGCAACGGGTAGACGAACACAACCAGGAGATATGGTAACCAGGAGATATGGTAACCAGGTAACGCGGCAACGAGGGGACGTGATAACCACTCATCCATTCCTGGTGTAGCAGATAAACACGGTAACGCTGTAATTGAGAGACACAATAACCGGTTGCCATGGTAACTGGGTACCACAGTAACCGGGTACCACGATAACCGGCTCGCTCCGCACCTTGCTGTCGGAGACAATGCTGGAGTCGCTGGTCGCCGAGGAGAGGGTGCGCTTGCTGTTGCCGTGGCGATGGTCGCCAGGGACGATGTCGTCGGGCTCCTCGTGGTCGTCGTGGCGGAGGAGCGTCGTGAAGTCGACGCCCGAGCGGAGGAGCTCGGAGAATGTGCCACGCGCTGTCACGTGGCCCTGACAACCGGCGCCGCAACCACGTTAACCGTTACCGCCGTGGGACAAGCGCTTAGCAACAACGACCACGGCAACCGTCACCGCCGTGGGACAAGCGCTTAGCAACAACGACCACGGCAACGGCCGCCGCCATTCGCCAACTGAATGGTGGCGACGTCGCCGCCACGGCACGTCGTGCCAGGCTAGGTGCACCATCAGACCGTCACGTGAAGTACGGAATGCTCTCCGCTGTTGCTGGCAGCAGGAGGTCACGGGACAGACCCAGGTGCCGTGGGTTGACTGCTGTGCCAGGATAGGTGCAGGAGGTCACGGGACAGACCCAGGTGCCGTGGGTTGACTGCTGTACCAGGCTAGGTACAGGTGTGCCACGGTGGCTAGGAGATGTTAAATACCTTGCCTGGTATACAGGAGGTCGTGCGTTCAATCCCGACCTCGATGCCTGCTGCTGCTGTATATTTGGCGTTTGTGTGTCTCTCTCTCCCCGTGGTCGCATGGATTTTTATCCAGGTCCTCCAGATGTTCCCTCTACATTCTGAATCGACATCACGCGTGGCTGCTGCACATTCCACCACGTCGATAAGCCACTGAGTTGAGCTGCCACTTGTGATCGGCTTCTACGTAGTTCAGTGGGGCCTTATCTGGTTGGTTAGCACAGTTGGCTACGTACGTTGCGAAAGGAGTTCAACATACAAACTATGCATGTATGCGAAAGAAGTTCAACATTAATCTTTGTTTTTTTTCGGTAAAGTCACGTAGAAATTAGAAAAAATAAAATTACATAATATATTTCTACGTGACTTTACCGAAAAAAACAAAGATTAATTCCTGCAGTCACGAAAGCACCAAATCTAGTTTGAAGTTAAACATACAAACTATGCATGTATGCGATTTCATTTGAGAAATGGGACAGAGCCAGGTGCCATGGGTTGACTGACTGGGATGACTGGCAGATGCACCAGCCGTGCCACCCACTGTGCCCACTCGCTGCTGTTGGGGGATGACTGCCACCAACTATGCTAAGACTTCGCTGACCAGATTCTCTGGGTCTTCTCGGCCACAGTCATGCCCTCCCTTCCCTGTGCTTACAAAACGTGGAGCCCTCTCATGGAATATCTGCGCTGGTTTGCAACATTCAGGCTGGCCTGCCTACGATCCACCCTGGGTTTAACCACCAGGCTGTGGGAGGAGCTCACAGAGCATTAAAAGATCTGGACAAGGTCCCATCGGTGAGCTCCTCCGGCAGGCAAGGCTGCGTTGGCTGGGTCGTGTAGCCCGCATGCCGAAACAGCTTCTATTCGGCCGGATCGAGGGGGCTAAACGGGCTCGGCACGGGTTAGAGAAGAGATGGAGTGATGTGGTACAGGAAGACGTGGAGCTGAGTGGACTTGCTGATGACTGGTACCAGCGGTGTCAAGATCGGCCTCTGTGGAGGAGGAGGCTCGTGAAGGACGCTACTGGGCAGTTGGAGGCAGTCGCCCTCCAACAACAACGGAGGGCGGAGCAGCGACGCTCGCAACAACGAGCGGAGCGCCGGGCGGCTAAAATTCTGTGAGTTGGCACAGTGAGGCGCACAGCTGGTGGTGCGTCTGCCGGTCATCCCATACAATTAACATTGACACACGCGCACACACACAGATATTCCCCGTGTAGCCTTGACAGACTGTTGGGGCAAGTGCTGTTAGCGAGTAGCAGCACCTACGAAGGCCGGCACGGCGCACGAGGGGAGTGGTGTGGCCAGCAACCACGACCTCGCCCACATGTGAGTGGCTGAGCGTGCGCCCCTCCCCCCTCCCCGCCTCCTCCTCCTCCTCGTCGTGCCGCTCACCTCCTTGAGCACGATGATGTGAGTGGCCTCCTGCAGGAACTGCAGTTGATGCGTGACGAGCACACGGGGCTTGTCCTCCAGCAAGCCGCAGATGCACCTGCAAGCACACAAGCAAAGGTCCCCCGTGTAGCCTTCACAGGCTGCCGTGGCAAAGTGCTGTTGGCGAGTAGCGGCACCTCCTAAGGCCGGCACGGCCTTTGTCTCCCCGGTGGCGGCGTTCACGCATCGCACCACGTACTCATTTGAGGCCGAGTCGACCTAGGGGAGTCCCAGGACCGGTTCAGATAACCGTCACAGGTGATGCCGTGACCTGATAACATGGTAACTTGGTAACGTGTTCATGAGGTGACCTTGTGACCTGGTGATCCAGTAATCTGGTGACCCCGTGACCCGGTGACCTGGTAACTTGGTAACGTGTTCATGAGGTGACTTTGTGACCTGGTGATCCAGTAACTTGGTGACCCCGTGACCCGGTGACCTGGTAACCTGGTGACTTTGTAATGCAGTGATAAGGTGACACAATGACCTGGTAACCTGGTTACTTGGTGATGAGGTGACATGATGACCCAGTGACATAGTGAACTGGTGACCTGGTGACGTAGTGGCCTGGTGACATAGTGACCTGGTGACGTAGTGACCTGGTAACCTGGTGACTTGGTAACGCAGTGATGAGGTGACACAATGACCTGGTAACCTGGTGACTTGGTGATGAGGTGACATGATGACCTGGTGACGTAGTTACCTGGTGACCTGGTGACGTAGTGACCCGGTGACCTGGTGACGTAGTTACCTGGTAACCTGGTGACGTGGTGATGAGGTGACCTGGTGACGTAGTTACCTGGTGACGTAGTAACGAGGTGACCTGGTGACCTAATGACGTAGTGACCTGGTGACGTAGTGACCTGGTGACGTAGTGACGTGGTGACCCAGTGACCTGGTGACCTGGTGACCTAGTGACCTGGTGACGTGGTGATGAGGCAACGTTGAGCCTCACTTCTCAAAGAGCGCTCTCCCAACTTCTGCGTCGACGGCGCTGAGCGGATCGTCCAGGAGGTAGAGATCAGCATCCTGGTAAACCGCCCTGGGCAACCACACAACCACGGTGACAACCACACAGCAACAACAACACAACCACACAGCCACACAGCCACACAGCAACAACCAGACAACCACACAGCAACAACCACACAGCAACAACCACGGTGACAACCACACAGCAACAACCACACAGCAACAACAACACAACCACACAGCCACACAGCAACAACCAGACAACCACACAGTAACAACAACACAACCACACAGCAACAACCACACAGCAACAACCACGGTGACAACCACACAGCAACAACCACACAGCAACAACAACACAGCAACAACAACACAACCACACAGCCACACAGCCACACAGCAACAACCAGACAACCACACAGCAACAACCAGACAACCACGGTGACAACTACACAGCAACAACCACACAGCAACAACCACACAGCAACAACAACACAACCACACAGCAACAACCACACAGCAACAACCACACAGCAACAACCAGACAACCACACAGCAACAACCACACAGCAACAACCACACAGCCACAACCACACAGCAACAACCACACAGCAACAACCACACAACCACACAGCCACACAGCCACACAGCAACAACCAGACAACCACACAGCAACAACCAGACAACCACGGCGACAACCACACAGCAACAACCACACAGCAACAATCAGACAACCACACAGTAACAACCACACAGCAACAACCACACAACCACGGTGACAACCACACAGCAACAACCACACAGCCACAACCACAGTCACAATCACACAACCACAGTTACAACCAGACAACCACGGTCACAACCGCACAGCCACAACACCACACAGCCACACAACAGCACAACCAAAGTCACAACCAGTGAGTAGGTTGCTGAGTGAGCGAGGAGGCAAGTGAGTGAGCGAGTGGGCGAGTTGGTGAGTGAGTAGGTTACCGAGTGAGTGAATGGGTGAGCGGGTGAGTGGGTTGGTGGGTGGGCGAGTTGGTGAGTGAGTAGGTTACCGAGTGAGTGAGTGAGCGGGTGAGTGGGTTGGTGGGTGGGCGAGTTGGTGAGTGAGTAGGTTGCCGAGTGAGTGAGTGGGTGAGTGGGTTGGTGGGTGGGTGAGTGGGTGACTGATTAGGTTGCCGAGTGAGTGAGCGGGTGAGTGGGTTGGTGGGTGGGTGAGTGGGTGAGTGAGTAGGTTGCCGAGTGAGTGAGCGGGTGAGTGGGTTGGTCGGTGGGCGAGTTGGTGAGTGAGTAGGTTACCGAGTGAGTGAGCAGGTGAAACGAGTGGAGGAGCAAGCGAGTGGATGAGTTGGTGAGTGAGATGGTTACCGAGTGAGTGAGTGAGCGGGTGAGCGGGTGAGTGGGTTGGTGGGTGGGCGAGTTGGTGAGTGATTAGGTTGCCGAGTGAGTGAGTGAGCGGGTGAGTGGGTTGGTGGGTGGGTGAGTCGGTGAGTGAGTAGGTTACCGAGTGAGTGAGTGAGTGAGCGGGTGAGTGGGTTGGTGGGTGGGCCAGTTGGTGAGTGATTAGGTTGCCGAGTGAGTGAGTGAGCAGGTGAGTGGGTTGGTGGGTGGGTGAGTCGGTGAGTGATTAGGTTACCGAGTGAGTGAGCAGGTGAAGGAGCAAACGAGTGGAGGAGCAAGTAAGTGGATGAGTTGGTGAGTGAGATGGTTACCGAGTGAGTGAGTGAGTGAGCGGGTGAGTGGGTTGGTGAGTGGGTGAATGGGTGATCGAGTTGGTTGCCGAATGAGTGAGCGGGTGAGCAAGTGAGCGAGTGAGTTGGGGAGTGAGTAAGCAGGTTATCGAGCGAGTTCAGAAGCGAGTGAGTAGGCGATCGAGTGGATGAGCGAGTAGGTTCCCAAGTGAGTGAGCAAGGGGTGAGTGAGCATGTGGGTGAGCGAGTAGGTTACCAAGTGAGCTGGTGAGTGAGTGATCGGGTGAGTCAGTGGGTGAGTCAGCGGGTGAGTGGGCGGGTGAGTGGGCGAGTGAGCGGGTGAGCAAGTGGGTGAGTGGGTGAGCAGGTGGGTGAGCAGGTGGGCGAGCGGGTGAGCGAGTGGGCAAGCAGGTGAATGAGTTGGTGAATGGGTGAGCGAATTAGCGAGCGAGTGAGCGAGCGGGTGAGCGAGCGAGCCTCACCGGGCGAGGTTAATGCGCGCTTTCTGTCCACCACTCAGCGTGACCCCACGGTCTCCGATGAGGGTCAAGTCTCCCTCGGACATCATCTCAAAATCCTGCACGCTCGCGTGGGGGGGTCACATGGTGGGGGTCACGCAGGGGTCACGCGGGGGTCACCGTGTTGTGGCTATGACCAGTGCGCGAGTCGTCGGCGTTGAGGCCGCACCTTGCGCAGGGAGCAGGCGCGCACGACCCGCTCGTAGCGCGCGCGCTCGTAGGCCGCCCCGAACAAGATGTTCTGCCGCACCGTGTCGGGGAACACCCAGGGCTGCTGGCAGGCGTAGGCCACGCGGCCCCGCGCCCGCACGCGGCCCAGCGAGCACGGCAGCTCGCCCAGCAGGGCGCTCAGCAGGGACGACTGCAGGACGCGAACAAAGACAAAGGGGTCCCAGGCGGAGCCTTCAAAGGGATGCAGCGGCCAACTGGGGCCGCCGCCGGGTTGGGAGCCGCGGCGTAGCGGTTAGCGCGCCGCGGCTCCCCACGCACACACACAGGTACACACACACACAGGTACACACACACAGGTACACACACACACAGGTACACACACACAGGTACACACACACAGGTACACACACACACAGGTACACACACACACAGGTACACACACACAGGTACACACACACACAGGTACACACACACAGGTACACACACACAGGTACACACACACACACACAGGTACACACACACACAGGTACACACACACACAGGTACACACACACACAGGTACACACACACACAGGTACACACACACAGGTACACACACACAGGTACACACACACACAGGTACACACACACACACACAGGCACACACACACAGGTACATACACAGGTACACACACGCACACACACGTACACACACACACAGGCACACACACACAGACACACACACGCACACACAGGCACACACACAGGCACACAGGTACACACACGCACACACACACGCACACACACACACACAGGCACACACACACGTACACACACACGTACACACACACGCACACACACACGCACACACACACACACACAGGCACACACACACACACGCACACACACGCACACACGTACAAAGACAAAGACCTCGCCCCCCCCCCCCCCCATACAGACATCAAGAGACTGTTGGGGCAAGCGCTGTCAGCGAGCGAAGCTCCTCTGAAGGCCGGCACGGCACGCATTGCTGCCCGTCCCACACCCCCCATCCTGCCGCCCCCGCCCCCACATTACCACCCGCCCCCTCCCCCCACTGCCCCCCCCCACTGCCTCCCCTCTTCCCCAGCCCCCCACATTGTCAACCCCGCCCCCCCCCGTTCCCCCCGCCCCCCGACCTTTCCTGCCCCCACGGGACCGATGATGGCGACCAGCTCCCCGGGCCCCACAGTGAAGGAGATGGAGTCCAGCGCCCGAAGGTCCGGCGAGTCCTGCACCACGACACGCAGAGCCACGGCGTCGGCCCGTCGACAAGACTTACTACACGGTTGGCTGCTGACGGTGCCATGAAGTTCAACATACGTACATGCAACACCACTTGCCCCAACAGTCTGTTAAAGGCTATGTGGGCATATTTGTCATTGTTGTGTGTACGTGTGTGTGTGTGTGTGAGTGTCTCTGAATGAGCATCGGTGAAAAGGTGAGAGGGTGAGTATGTGCCCGTGTGTCTTTGTCTCTTGAGAGCTTGCTAACAGCACTTGCCCCAGCCGTCTGTTAAGGCTCTACGGGGAATTTGTATCTTTGTCCTAAGTACGTGTCAGTGTGAGTGACAGTGAGTGTGTGTGAGACGCTTGCGAAACGCGGACCCCCCCCTTATGGAACATCTTCGCCGGTTAGAAACATTTAGGCTGGCCGGCCTACGATCCATCCTGGGTTTAACCAGGCTAGATTGTGTGAGGAGCTCACAAATCCTTGAAAAATCTGGACAAAGTCCCATCGGTGAGCTCCTCCGGCAGGCAAGGCTGCGTTGGCTGGGCCATGTAGCCCGCATGCCCAGCCACCGTATTCCTAAACAGCTTTTGTTCGGCCGGATCGAGGGGGCTAAACGGACGCGGCACGGGCTAGAGAAGAGATGGAGTGATGTGGTACAGGAGGACGTGGAGCTGAGTGGATTTGCCGATGACTGGTACCAGCAGTTTCAAGATCGGCCTCTGTGGAGGAGGCTCGTGAAGGATGCCACTGGGCAGTTGGAGGCAGTTGCCCTCCAACAACAACGGAGGGCAGAGAAGCGATGCTCACAACAACGAGCGGAGCGCCGGGTGGCTAAAGCACAGCAATTTGGCACAGTAGCAGGCACAGGTGGTGCATCAGCCAGTCATCTCAGTTAGTCGACCCGTGAATCTGGGTCTGCCCCGTGGCATCCTGCCAGCGGGCATTCGACACTTCCCGTGGCCTCAACGTACACATAGCCTGGCACAAGCGTCGTGGTGACGTCACCGCCACTTAATGTGAGAGTGGGTGACAGTGAGTGGGTGCGAGTGGATGCAAGTGAGTGGGTGCGAGTAAGCGTGGCCGGCTGCAGGATGAGCGGGATTCACGTCCACATTTCTGTTGAGCGGGGCTCCAACCTGGCCAATCCCCTCTGGGCGGGGCACGTCGCTCCCTCCGAGCCGTACCTTGTCCCAGCTGCAGGAGATGTTCTCCACGGTGATGAACGGAGTCCGGTCTCCAACCACCGGCCCGTTCTCCCCCTCCTCCTCCTCCTTCCCCTCCTCCTCCTTCCCCTCCTCCTCCTTCCCCTCCTCCTCCTCCTCCTGGTTGGTGTTCTTAACAATCTCATCCAGCATGAGGAATGTCTGCACCAAAGACAAAGATCCCCCGCGTAGCCTAAAACGGACTGTTGGGGCAAGTGCTGTTGGCGGAACGGCACGGCACGAGGGGGTGATGTGGCCGGCACCACGTCAAGCTGCGATGTTTACACACTACACCGGGTACTCATGTGAGGCTGAGTCGACCTAGGGGAGGCCCAGAACCGGATTCAGATATCCGTCGCTGATGTTGTTCATGAGCTGGAACTTCAACTCGGGTAGCCGGGTTCGTAGCGCAGTGCACTAACTGCGCCACCACTCCCCATACATGACACGAGACGATCCCCCGCATAACCCTTAACAGACTGTAGGGGCAAGTGCTGTTAGCGAGTAGCACCTATGAAGGCCGGCACGGCACACGAGGGGGTGGGTGGCCAGCACCACGCCCGGCCGCCTTTGTCACTGGTGAACTAAAGTTCCCTACATGCACATGTGTGCGCACACACACAAACAACAACAACAGCCGCCATTCGCCACTAAGTGACGGTGGCATCACCACGGAGCCTGTGCCAGGCTAGGTGCACTTTGAGGCCACGTGAAGTGTCAAAGGCTCGCTGAAAGGAGGTCACGGGGACAGACCCAGCAGGTGCCGTGGGTCGGCTGACTGACATGACTGGCAGATGCACCCCACTGTGCCAACTCGCCGCATTTTATCCACCCGGCGCTCCGCTCGTTGTTGTGAGCATCACTCCTCTGCCCTCCGCTGTTATTGGATGGCGACGGCCTTCAACTGCCCAGTAACGTGCTTCACAAAGCCAAAGATCCCACATATAGCCTTAACAGACTGCAAGGAGCAAGTGCTGTTAGCAATCACCAACGAAGGCCACACATCCATGCACGTGCATACGCATACACACATACACACACAGACACCTGCACCCCCTACCACCCATCCGCCCCCCAACCCCCGCCCCACCACGACACCTGGATGCGGCTGTTGCTGACGAGGGCCTCGGACGTGGCCTGGATGGCGGAGGGGAAGAAGAGGGTGACGGTGAGGCGCACGGCGTTGTACAGCGACACCGCCACGAAGACGCGCGCCGCCGTGATGGGGTGGCCCATGAGCGTGTACGTCATGAACGTGAAGAACAGGATGAGCTTGCCGGCCATGAAGAACCAAGCCATGTTCATGCCGCGCAGAAAGGACGCCTTCAGCACCTTGGAGACCTCCAACCTGGCCGGGAGGGAGACGTGCCGAGACGGCGGTCAGCACCATGGACAGCTCCAACCTGGGCAGGAGACGACATTCACAGAGACACTCAGCACCATGGACAGCTCCAGTGTGGAGGGGATGAGATTGACAAAGATACTCAGCACCGTGGACAGCTCCAGTCTGGAGGGGATGAGATTCACAGGGACACTCAGCACCATGGACAGCTCCAGTGTGGTGGGGATGAGATTCATAGAGACACTCAGCACCATGGACAGCTCCAGTCTGGAGGGGATGAGATTCACAGAGACACTCAGCACCGTGGACAGCTCCAGTGTGGTGGGGATAAGATTCACAGGGACACTCAGCACCATGGACAGCTCCAGTGTGGTGGGGATGAGATTCACAGAGACACTCAGCACCATGGACAGCTCCAGTGTGGAGGGGATGAGATTCACAGAGACACTCAGCACCATGGACAGATCCAGTGCGGAGGGGATGAGATTCACAGAGACACTCAGCACCGTGGACAGCTCCAGCCTGGAGGGGATGAGATTCACAGAGACACTCAGCACCGTGGACAGCTCCAGCCTGGAGGGGATGAGATTCACAGAGACACTCAGCACCGTGGACAGCTCCAGCCTGGAGGGGATGAGATTCAGAGACACTCAGCACCATGGACAGCTCCAGTCTGGAGTGGATGAGATTCACAGAAACACTCAGCACCATGGACAGCTCCAATCTGGAGTAGATGAAATTCACAGAGACACTCAGCACCATGGACAGCTCCAGTCTGGAGGGGATGAGATTCACAGAGACACTCAGCACCATGGACAGCTCCAGTCTGGAGGGGATGAGATTCACAGAGACACTCAGCACCACGGACAGCTCCAGTGTGGAGAGGATGAGATTGACAGAGACACTCAGCACCATGGACAGCTCCAGTCTGGAGGGGATAGATTCACAGAGACACTCAGCACCACGGACAGCTCCAGTCTGGAGGGGATAGATTCACAGAGACACTCAGCACCACGGACAGCTCCAGGCTGGAGGGGATGAGATTCACAGAGACACTCAGCACCGTGGACAGCTCTAGTCTGGAGTAGATGAGATTCACAGAGACACTCAGCACCATGGACAGCTCCAGTGTGGAGTAGATGAGATTCACAGAGACACTCAGCACCATGGACAGCTCCAGTGTGGAGTGGATGAGATTCACAGAGACACTCAGCACCATGGACAGCTCCAGCCTGGTGGGGATGAGATTCACAGAGACACTCAGCACCATGGACAGCTCCAGTCTGGAGGGGATGAGATTAACGGGGCCACTGCGATGAGGTGGTACACGTACCGGCGGATGGAGTTAACGAGGAGAGCAAAGGGGTTCTCCCAGGCATACATCTTTATGATCCTCATCCCCGACACCACCTCGTTCATCGTGCGGATCCGCGAGTCCGTGTGTCGTGCCGTCTTGGACCTGTGATGAAACAATTCGCAACGCCGCCACCATCATCTTCGTCGTCTTTAGCAGCAACGTCGTCATCCCTCACGCGGTCATTATCGTCATTGCCACCATCGTCATTAATATCATCGTCGTCGTCATCATCTGCATCATCGTCATAGTCGTATTCAATGCTACCTCCCCAGTGATGACACCGTCATGACCTTCATCATCATCATCATTATTGACCGCAACATTATCATTTTCTTCATCGTCGCCATCATCGACAAGATCGTCATCACCATCGACCGCAACAACGTAATCATGGTCTACATCACGTACCATCATCATCATCATTGCCTACACTTCTACCATCACCTTTACCATCAAAAGGTGTCTCAGTGAGGAGGTGTATCATATATAAGATGGAAGGGGTGTCTCATGGATGAGTTATGCTGGTGATGATTTATCAGATGGATGAAGTGCATCGTGCATGCGGTGTCATATGGATGAGACATCATATAGATGAGGCGTCATATAGATGAGGTGTCATTTAGATGAGGTGTCATATAGATGAGGTGTCATGTAGATGAGGTGTCATGTAGATGAGGTGTCTCGTGGATGAGGCGTCTCGTGGATGAGGCGTCATATAGATGAGGTGTCATATAGATGAGGTGTCATATAGATGAGGTGTCATATAGATGAGGTGTCTTATAGATGAGGTGTCATATAGATGAGGTGTCTCGTGGATGAGGCGTCATATAGATGAGGCGTCATATAGATGAGGTGTCATATAGATGATGTGTCTCGTGGATGAGGTGTCATATAGATGAGGTGTCATATAGATGAGGTGTCATATAGATGAGATGTCATATAGATGAGGTGTCATATAGATGAGGTGTCATATAGATGAGGTGTCATATAGATGAGGTGTCTCGTGGATGAGGCGTCATATAGATGAGGCGTCATATAGATGAGGTGTCATATAGATGAGGTGTCATATAGATGAGGTGTCTCGTGGATGAGGCGTCATATAGATGAGGTGTCATATAGATGAGGTGTCATATAGATGAGGTGTCTCGTGGTTGAGGGGACGTTGTGAATGAGGAGCTCCCCTCCCGCTGACTCTGAGACTCTGATGACAGGGAGAGAGGGAGGGGGTAGGAGGGTTGAGGAGGAAGGGGGAGGAGGGAGAGGAGGGAGGGAGAAGGAGGGGGAGGAGCGAGGAGGAGGAGGAGGAGGAGCGAGGAGGAGGAGTCGTCGTGGCCCCTACCGGAGTCGTGAGAAGACGCTGCCGATGAATGACTGCATGGGCATGAGGAGTGCGAGGACGGCGACGCCGGCGAGGCAGGCGACGCCCACCTCCTGCCACAGCAGCACCACCACCACGGCCGTCTGCAGCGGCGCCGACCACAGGTAGTGTAGGAACACCGTCACCTGCACACACAAACACGCACGCGCACACACACGTACACATACACGCACACATACACACACACGCACATGCACACGTACATGCACACGTACACACGGGGAGGACAGTGAGTGGGTGTGTGGGTGGTTTGGTAATGTTTGGTTGTGTTAGAGAATAAAACGTGTTGCCTCCCAGTCTCGGTGCGCGCCTGATTAGAACCCACAACAGATGTATTGGTGGCTGGGTGGTTGGGTGGACGAGTGGGTGTGCGGGGAGCTAGCGTAGTGAGCACATCGATGAGTAGGTGGGTAAGCGTAGCCGGCTATGCTATTCAGAGGTGTGGGAGCACGTGACCGAATGCGTGCGTGAACGAGCGAGTGGGTGAGCAAGCACGTGGGTGAGTGAGCGAGTGAGCAGGCGTGCGAGTGGTGGACTCGTGAGCGGTGGACACCTGGTCGTAGCGGTTGACGTCGTTGGACAGCAGGTTGACTATCTGCCCCGTGGTCGTGCGACTCATGGCCGCAGTGCTCAAACGCAGAGCCTGTGTGGGAGGGCACGGACACCCACTCATTCACTTACTCATTCACACAATCACTCACATTCACTCACTCGCACACTAGCACACTCACTCATTCACTCATATACTCATACACTCACTCCCCCAATCACTCAATCACTTACTCATTGACTCACTCATTCACTCAATGGCGTATTCAATCACTCATTTACCAATTAATTCACCGATTTACTTACTGATTCACACAATCCATCAATCATTTAAGCATTCACTAACCCAGTAAATCACTCATTCATTCAACCATTCCCTCACTCACCTAAGCAACACATCACTCATTCACTCACTCCCCCCACATAGCATTCACAGTGGCGATGTTTTACACACCGCACCAGTTACTCATTTGAGGCCGAGTCGACCTAGGGCAGGACCAGGAGTGATTTAGATATCCGTCATGGATGTTGGCGGCCTTAACCGGCAAAGGGAATCTGTGAAACTACTGGACGTCTGTGATAAAGAGCTTCACGGCTCATCGGATTTCTCAAAGGATGAATAAAGATTCTGATGCTGATTATGAGTGGCAATCGCACTCGGGGTCGTAGCGCAGAGCGCCGCTAACCGCTACACTATCACGTGTGTGACACACCGCAGGTGCACGCTCACGCTTATGAGTGTGCACGTGTGAGTGTGCACGTGCGAGTGTATGTTCGTACACTCACACGTGCACACTCACACTCACACGTGCACACTCACACTCACACGTGCACACTCACACGTGCACACTCACACGTGCACACTCACGCTCGTGAGTGTGCACGTGTGCGAGCGCACATTAAGGGGCCGTCCATAAATGACCTCACGCGATTTTGGCCAATTTATAACCCCCCCTTCCCCCCTCGTCACACGGCGTCACAAAAAGTCAGACCCCCCTCAAATATGACGTCACAAAGCTCTGCCCCCACCCCCTAAAAACCACATTTCCATTTTGAAAATAAAACGTGCTTCAAATCACTTTCAACTATTGTCATTGTAGCGCATATTTAATGTGGCGCTGCACTCTGATGCTGTAGGAGAAAACATGTGTAGCGCCATTATTAAAGCGCTACGTGAAAGTGAGCCTCCTGCTACTACGCCGATAGGTCAACAAGGGGCGGATTTGGAGGCTGAGTAGGTTGAGTGGCAGTCAAGCCAAGGTCACCCCCCCCTCTGGGTATCTCGTGACCGGAGGGGCGGACCCCGGCTAGGGGCGGAGTGAGCCCCGACTCGGGGTATAAAAGCCGGTCCCTTTCAACGGGACCGTCAATTGTCTTCCTCTCGAAGAACCGAAGACATCTCAAGTCTAGAGCCCTGGGACCACCCGACTGAGGCTCCTGTCAGAGCCGGGTTCGAGCGGGCCCAGGGGTGAGAGACCCGGAGACCCTGGCAAGGTCGGGTCACAACTCAGAATAGCCTCCCCTAGGTCCCCATAGCGGAGGACCCGATAGAGACGTGCTAGCCCAGATATCGGGTGGAAGGGGCCTTACCCCTTTGTGTCAGGGACAGCTGTGTTTGCGTTTGCTGTTAATAAACGTGTTGCCTCCAAGAGGAAGTATCCCACAAGTCTGTACTCACTACACGCGTATTGAAAAGGTGGCTTTGGAAAGGTGAAATTTAGCATTAAAGTTTACCTGAAAATATTCAACGTCTAACTAAAACTGCAGATTGTTCAGAATATTATATTGAAATTCTCTTAAAATTATAAAATATTAAAAGTAATTATAACTGTAAAAAATACTTGAAACTTTGTAGTAGAACGAAGCAAAATGTTGAGTACAATTATAACAATCATATATTCATTCCACAGAATGAAAAGCCCTGGTAGAAACATTAGAATCCAAATGTTTAATAACGATCATTCAAAAAATTTTACAAAATGTATGCTTCTCCATTCTCCCATGGAGAAGCAAATAGCTCCTTCATGGAATAAATAAAAGGTGACCTTAGTAAATGTAAATAATCATACAGTTAATAATGAAAATTAATAAATAAAAAATAGTGTTATAACAATTCTGTTTAATCAAGTAGAACATGTTGATTTGTACTAGGTGCCTCTGTGGATGTGTATGCTTTGACTTTAACATAGCCATTTCTGTGACCAGTCACAAGCTAATCACTCAGCTATTTCAATGCTAAATTCTATGCTAATTCCTTTGTCAAGGCGCTCTGTTTCTTCTCACACAACTTAAAGGTCGCGGTCTGAGCTTGGCTGTGTTCGCTCTAGCGCTGTCCTCCAGACAGTCTCGTCCCTTCACCTGATGAAGGCCGCTTGTGTTGTGGCCGAAACGTCGTGAGAATTTTATTGTGTTATTTTATTTTATCAATTTATTATTTTATTCTCATTCTACGTGACTTTACCGAAAGAACCAAAGAAGATAGAACGTGGTGTTTACATTTAAAGTTGCGCATTTTAACGTGACGTCACATTTCTCAAACCCCCCCCTCCCCCCCTTCGTCGCACATCGTCACAAATGTCTGACCCCCCCTCCCCCCCCCCCCCAGGTGCGTGACGTCATGTATGTACGTCCCCTAGCGCGCGCGCACCTTGCGGTAGACCATGTGGCAGACCGCGACGCGGATGCGCATGCCGGCGAGCTGCACGTGCAGGAAGTAGAGGTGGTGCGTGACGGCGAAGGAGAGGGCGCACAGCGAGATGCCGCCCGCGTAGAGGAACGCCGCGAGGCGCGGGGGCACCGCCGCGGTGCCCTCCAGCGTCCCCTCAAAGTAGTTGAGCAGCTTGCCCAGCAGCAGGGGCTGCACCACGCGCACCGACTCCTGCACGCGGGACACGCAGAAACACGGGAGGAGGCGTGTGGACACGTTGGACACACAGAAACACGGGAGGAGGCGTGTGGACACGCGGGACACGCAGAAACACGGGAGGAGGCGTGTGGACACGTTGGACACACAGAAACACGGGAGGAGGCGTGTGGACACGTTGGACACACAGAAACACGGGAGGAGGCGCGTGGACACGTTGGACACACAGAAACACGGGAGGAGGCGTGTGGACACGTTGGACACGCAGAAACACGGGAGGAGGCGTGTGGACACGTTATACACGCAGAAACACGGGAGGAGCCGTGTGGACACGTTGGACACGCAGAAACACGGGAGGAGGCGTGTGGACACGCTGGACACACAGAAACACGAGAGGCATGTGGACACGTTGGACACGCAGAAACACGGGAGGAGGCGTGTGGACACGTTGGACACACAGAAACACGGGAGGAGGCGTGTGGACACGTTGGACACGCAGAAACACGGGAGGAGGCGTGTGGACACGCGGGACACGCAGAAACACGGGGGGAGGCGTGTGGACACGTTGGACACACAGAAACACGGGGGGAGGCGTGTGGACACGCGGGACACGCAGAAACACGGGAGGAGGCGTGTGGACACGTTGGACACACAGAAACACGGGAGGAGGCGTGTGGACACGTTGGACACACAGAAACACGGGAGGAGGCGTGTGGACACGTTGGACACACAGAAACACGGGAGGAGGCGTGTGGACACGTTGGACACGCAGAAACACGGGAGGAGGCGTGTGGACACGTTGGACACACAGAAACACGGGAGGAGGCGTGTGGACACGTTGGACACGCAGAAACACGGGAGGCGTGTGGACACGTTGGACACACAGAAACACGGGAGGAGGCGTGTGGACACGTTGGACACACAGAAACATGAGGAGGCGTGTGGACACGTTGGACACAGAAACATGAGGAGGCGTGTGGACACGTTGGACACACAGAAACACGGGAGGAGGCGTGTGGACACGTTGGACACACAGAAACACGGGAGGAGGCGTGTGGACACGCGTGACACGCAGAAACACGGGAGGAGGCGTGTGGACACGCTGGACACGCAGAAACACGGGGGGAGGCGTGTGGACACGCTGGACACGCAGAAACACGGGAGGAGGCGTGTGGACACGCTGGACACGCAGAAACACGGTAGGAGGCGTGTGGACACGCTGGACACGCAGAAACACGGGGGGAGGCGTGTGGACACGCTGGACACGCAGAAACACGGGAGGCATGTGGACACGTTGGACACACAGAAACACGGGAGGAGGCGTGTGGACACGTTGGACACACAGAAACACGGGAGGCATGTGGACACGTTGGACACGCAGAAACACGGGAGGAGGCGTGTGGACACGTTGGACACACAGAAACACGGGAGGAGGCGTGTGGACACGCTGGACACGCAGAAACACGGGAGGAGGCGTGTGGACACGTTGGACACACAGAAACACGGGAGGAGGCGTGTGGACACGTTGGACACACAGAAACACGGGAGGAGGCATGTGGACACGCGTTACACACAGAAACACGGGAGGAGGCGTGTGGACACGCGTGACACGCAGGCACTGGGGACACGGACGAGCAGACGCGCGGGCATACAGACAGACGGACATGTGAACTCCCGCGGACACGCGCAGATGCACCATCGCCCCCTTGTAAGCCCAGCGTGCGTAGGCGTGCGTGTGTGCGTGTGTGTGTGTGTGCATGTGTGTGCGTGTGTGCGTGAGTAGGCGTGTGTGTGTGCGTGCGTGTGTGTGTGCATGCGTAGGCGTGTGTGCGTAGGCGTGCGTGCGTGCGTGTGC